AAGTCTACTAAATAACTGCAAAAACCAGTAAGAATATACTTCAGCTCTATAATATGATCTATTAAGTGACACAGACAGAAGAAAGAAGACAGATGTGAAAGAAGAAATAACAGCATAGTAAGAGCAATAAAAATAAGAGATAAATAACTACAAAACAACAAAGAAAAATTCTAGAGGGAGGAACAAGAGATGCACCAACAAACCAACATGACCAGAGAAAAGCAGACAAATGACCAGAAAAACAAAAGAACTGCAGGAGAGCAAAGCCTTCAACATCCCTGGAATAAACAAGTGTTTCTATCTTGCAGCTTTTTAATACTGATACTAAGGATTCCATTCGATCCCACTGTCATTCTTCTAGAAAAGATTCCAAAATGGGAACTGAAACCTGGATACTAGGTTTAACTTGTAGGCATAGATTATCATCAGGTTAACCTTAGGCAACTGGAAAACCACTAGATGGCTTCATATCAGTGGGCTTTTTGTCCGGTTTCAAAAATTTCAGGGCTGGGGTTGTGGTTCAGCGGTAGAGCACTTGCCTAGCACATGTGAGGCCCTGAACTCGATCCTCAGCACCACATAAAAATAAACAAATAAAATAAACGTATTGTGTCCAACTACAACTTAAAAATAAATATTTAAAAAAATTTTTTCAGCAAATTCCCAATTTATGATTTATAAAAATTAAAAGGTTTTCTTAAGTAAATCTCTTATTCTAATTACATTAGGACACCTTGGCATACATATGTCGGTTTTATACCTCATTGCCTGGGGACACAATTAAACCAACCTCAACTCAAATGTAGCATTTTAATAGAACCAAAATGTGAAAACTTGATCAATTATACATTTTTAAAAAAATTTTCTTCCTTTTTTTTTTTTTAACACAATACCTTTATTTTTATGTGGTGCTGAGGATCGAACCCGGGCCCCTCCCGTGCTAGGCAAGCACTTTACCACTGAGCCACAATCCCAGCCCATCAATTATACATTTTACCACCTGTACTAACTACTAACCTCAAAGAAAACTTTAATACTTTCTTAAAAAAATATTTGTTTTTTAGTTATAGATGGACACAATATCTTTAATTTGTTTTTATGTGGTGCTGAGGATTGAACCCAGCACCTCACACATGCTAGATGAGCGCTCTTCCTCTTGAGCCACCACCGCAGCCTTTATTTAATACTTTTAAGAAGAAAAATGTAAAACAATCTTACCACTCTTTTACTTCTATATTTAGACATATGCATTTTTTCCATTGTCTAAAAAGGCCAATTACTTAAACTTCAGAGTTCTTGGATAAACAGACAGCAATACCAAATGTTAGTAAAACTGAACTAAAATGTAAGGTTTGTTTCCTGAAGAGCAGATGAGTTATATATATTTTTATATAAATTAACTTTCACTTAAACTCAATTATTAAGTTAAGCTTTGACATAGCATTTTTTTGCCATATCTATTCATACATTTTCTCATGAGCAACATAATAGACAATACAAATGCTTTCTTCATCCCAGTTTTCAAAACTAATGAACATACTGAAAGATAACCTAGAAATAAACTGTCCCAAAATTTATTTTTTGTAAAGAAATAAAAATTCTTCTTAATAAATTGTAACTATTAGAAGGTTCCTTGTTGTGTATAATAAATAACTCCTAAAAATATTTTCTTTTCTAGCTGGGTGTGATGGCACACATCTATAATTATAGATTCGTGGGAGGCTGAGGCAGGAGGTTTGTTAATTGAAGGCCAGCTTGAGCAACTTAGCAAGACTCTGCCTCAATATTAAATATATAGGCACACATGTTTTTTCCCCCCTCAGTCACTATATTGAAATTGCCAAAATACAAATGTATTGCCTGAACTTTTATTTATTTTTTACTTTCTTTTTTTGCCCACACTATTAATTTAGAGCATCCAACTACTACTGATTCAAAATCCTCTGATTCACACTGCTGAAAGATCATCTCTTCTTGCCTCTGGGGTAAAAAATAAAATAGGCCCAGGGCTGGAGGTCCTGCAAAGTGTTGGAGCACTTGCATTAGCATGTGCAAGGTTCAATTCCAGCACCAAAAAGAAAAAAGCCCAGAAGGATTCTGAAAATGCTCATAAGGCCCCAGGTGACTACCACTGTGTTTTTTTTCCTAACTACTGGTGGATGGCTTTTCTAATCATCACCAGCTAAGTTTACACAAAAGGAACAGTAATACCCCTGTAAGCATCAAGGTAACAGGTTGGCCAGGGACACCTGTCTTGTCCCACTCTCATCATGCAGGACTTAGACTGCCCTGCAGTGCTCCAGGTGTTGGACACTCCCTGCACTCCCTTCCATAAGGCTCTCTAGTGTCTGATTCTGCACTCTCTAAAAAATTAAGAGCCCTTAGGTCATTCCATTATTTCTCCTCCTAGAGGCAGGACCAGAGAGAGAGTGTGTCTTTTGCACAACAATTATTTAGAGGGCAATTCTGACCTTACTTAGGAATGTTAAACTGATGAGAAGAAAAAAATATTTTAAAAATCCCAAGGGCTAGGTTGGATAACAGGCTGATTACAATTCTGTGCAAAGACATCAAACATCCAGATATTCTGGGAAAAAAATATATAATGTCTTTCCTTTCCTTTCCATTATATTATTCTACTTCTCCTCCATCTTCCAGCTAGGTAGGATGAGGAAGCACTCAGGATTGTTTCTTTGGGTTTTGGACACCCCCCCCCCGCCCCAATGCATGATTGTTTCCTTGGGAAGGAGAAATAAAAAGTTACTCATATCAGTTGAACCAATGAAGAAAATAACCACTCAGCTTTACAACCACACCCAGCCTCAGCCTTTTGCTATGACAAATGAGGTCCTCATTTGGTCAGAGGTTTCAATGCCAAAGGAAACGTTTCCTTTCTCAAACTTGTCCAACACCAAGAGTCAACAGTGAGGCTTGCTGGAAGTTCAGATTCTCTCAATCCTTCCAAACTTAATCAGCATCCTGAGAAGCAAATACCCAAGACTGTTTTTTTTTTGCAAGCACCAGGTAATCTTTATATTTGAGATACATTATCTTGAGACTGTGTTCAGCTTTTAAAAAAAAAAAAACAAAAAACTCCTACTTTTTCCCCTTAGGAACTATAGATTTATTTTTATTCCTTTTTTAATATTTATTTTTTTAGTTGTAGTTGGACACAATACGTTTATTTATTTATTTTTTTAATGTGGTGCTGAGGATCGAACCTAGGGCCTCACATGTGCTAGGTGAGCACTCTTATCACTGAGCCACAATCCCAGTGGAACTATAGATTTAAAAACTAGAATTTCACACATCAAACTAAAACTCAGTTCACTTTGTGTGCTAGCTCTTTATAGCATCTTAATAATTCATGAAAATGAACTAACTAGTTCCAGTTGTTGTCATTATCCTAGAGGCTGGCAGGTCTGAGCCACTCTTCTACTTTATTTATTTATTAAGCTGGTGTCTCACTATGTTGCCCAGATTGATCTTGAACTCTTGGGTTCAAACGATCCTCCTGCTTCAGCCTCTGAAGTAGCTGGGACTAGACATGTGCCACCATATCTGGCAGAGTCACAATCTTAAGCAGAGAAGGCACCTCTAAATTTCAGTTTTTTGAAGTAGTATATGCTTTCCATCCGGAAACTCTGGAAAATGATGCTCTTGTCTCACACTGCTAATCAGATCGGTACAAGCTGGAATGGCTATATCCAAAGTTCAACAGACAATGCAAAAAATCAGAAAGAGCTTCTTGGCAGTGACTGAAAAGAAAATCCAGTGGCTTTTGACATGCCCACTGCTTTTACCATGCCACATCCTTGAAGTGTACCGTAGAAAACAGCACGGAAGGCAATTAGTTCATGGTCCACGAGCAGATGGATGACAGTAAATTAATGAATGGGCCATGAGTCAGTGATACACCAAAAATGGCATCATGTAATTCAGCAATATCTTTAGGAGGGGAAGAGTACTTTGTAAAATTTCTTTATACCATCTGGTAGATTTTTTTTTTTTTTTACCAGCCTTTAACCAAATATTTGACATGAAAATTTATATTCAAAAAAGGAAAGGCAAATCCTGAGAGGCCCACATAGAAGCACAAACGGAAAGAAAAGGAAACAAAAACTAGGGTGGTACATTAGGAATAAAAAACCCTGAGACAGGCAGCCCACAAGGACAGCAGCACACCACAGGACGTCACTGCTCCTCCCCAGAGTGCGGACTCAGCGTTAAAAACCACGTACAGCAAACTTCAGTGCCAAATTCACATGAACAAAGACTGAACAAGAAAGGAGGAGGAGAACTAGGTAGAAAGAGGGCAAATCCCAGGGGAGACAGAATGAAGAAGGGGGTAGGGGGAGACAGCGTGCAACAGCTCATGCAGGGACCTCGGTGAGGACAAGTGGGCACCGGGCAACACTCGGTGAGAACAGAGGGCCAGAGAAAGTGAGACACACCTCAATCACAGAAACAAACCGCTTACCCTCCGCTTTAGTGGTAGTACCATCTTTATGCAAATTAAAAAACAAGGGAAGGGATAACAGGGAACAGTTAGTAACATTCAAAAAATTAAAAAAGCAGAATGTTATTAGCTACTAAAAAAAGCAAAAGTACAAGTTAAAACAAAATCAAAAGGGAAACAAGTTCAACAGCAAAGCAGAGTCTAAAGCAAGTAAGTGCACCTATGACAGAAACTAGCTGAGCATGGTGTAGTGGCTTTGCCTTTGGAAAACAGCACACAAAGGGGCGACCGAGGGTCGTGCCACAGTTGGAAGAGTGACTGGTTGTCTTTTTTTGTTTGAGTCAATCCTCATTGTCTTTAAGAGTTCCTCTTCCTTGAAGAAAGTACCAGCAGAAGGGGTGGCGGGAGCAGAACAGACTAAAAGGACTAAAGAGCCACCCACAGGGCGGAGGCAGTAGGAAGCGACAAGAAGCCGAGAAGCCGGCTCTAGCAACGCCTAGCCCAACTACACGCCCAGCAGCAGCAGCTGAGAGCTCAGTACCTGCATCCAGGCCTATGTACTCCAAGTCTTCCCTCAGGGGTCTGGACTCTAGAAGTTCGGAAAAGGATCATCAGCTTTAGTGCTACACTTGTGCAGAGACATCGTGGGTCAGCTATGCAGTAACTGTAACAGATTCTCCGTAGGACTGTGTTTTACTCAGTTTTCCATGTGTTTTGGTTTTGTTTCGGGACATAAATAAGGAAAGCAGAGGGAGGATTCTCAGGAAACCAAGAAAGTCTGAGTCCAGCAGTCTTGTCTGCAGTCAGCACTGAGTGCAGGGCTTGTCCCCAGTGGTTCTGAAGGTCAGTTCTCTGTCAAAGGTCTGGGGGCTTTTCACTAGCACTGGGGGAAGCCTGCCCAGTCCACATCCAAACACCCAAATAGGCACAAAAAAACAAGACTATGAAGGATGCTAAAGGCTGGTTTTACTTATGTTTTCCCAGCAATGAAACAAATGCTAATTATAAATAGATCAAATGAATTTAAATATTAGTAGGTCAATACCTGAAAGACTGAACTAAAAGTGTAACTAATTCACCATAGGAGGAAAGAACTGTGACTTCACCCTTCCTCAACGATGACACATCAACAGAACATTGTAACATTTCCACATAAAAATAGTTAAAGTGGTGAAAAAGAGTTCTTACTGGGAATATATGTGTGTATGAGGTGCTTCCATAGGAAAAAAACAAGACTGACTGACATGTGCTCTAGGATATATATCTTTCAACTTAATGACATTCCTGTCACAATCCCACTTTCACCTATCTTATAGGATGACAGTTTGCAAAGAAACTTCATACAATTTTCATAGATCCCTATTGTATATCTGAGTCAGGAGACCAGTATTAAGAGCAATTAATGGTTAGGGAGATAGACTTGAAGATTCATGGGCTTGCTCAAGGTCTCAGGGCTAACAAACAGCAGCCCCAGGGACCTTCTCTAGGTGTGTGTCCTCTCACCGTGCTTCTCACTCATGTTTCAGAACTTTAGTTTCAGAACTGACTTTGGAATTCATTAGTGGGCTACATATGTAACTCCATTTCAGTATTTCAAGTTTAAATTTTATTAATTTCCTTAACATTCAAAGTGGAACCATTTCAGTTCAGGGCTCAGATTTTGGGTGGAAAGACTTGGCTTTTACAAAAATACAATAAACCATCAGTCTTAAACCAAGTGAGTGTTAAGGGTTTGCTGAAAAAAAAAAACCACGAGTGACCCACCACCATGTCAGGTATTGAAAATGTGTTAAAATAATTTTAAAGAATTTTTAAAAACCTTTCGGGCGATCATTGGAGTACAGGTGTGCTCCTCCCAGGTGACGTGAGAAAGGATGATACTTATTGATGCAGACATGACTATGCTGGTTAACAAGGATGTCACATTCTTTGAGTCTGCCTGTCACTCCCCGACTCTGAGGGATGCCTAGCTATAGAAACAGTGTCTGATAAGTCCCTCACTGAGCCCTCTGCCTCCAACAGTGCCAGGAGGGGGAAAAGTCGGCTTTGGCAATATGAGCGTGGCTGAGCACTGGCTGGGCTGGCCGTGGAGAATGAGGGAGTGAGCTGACGGAAGCCTGTATGCGCTCAGGGCCAGCATGGCCTGCAAGGACTATATCCTTCACCACTAAAGGGGATGATGCTCCAGAGAAAGGAAACACTCGACAAAGGGTGGCTGGGGACCAGTACCAGGTGTAATTACTGTCTCTTAAATATCAATCCTGCAACAGGGGGGTCTTCCTTCCATTATGGTGTCTTGCAATTTGCTAAGAGGTGAGGATCATCTTGGACACCAGAACAGGATGTGAAGAGTGGGTAGGGGGATCTGGTTACCTAAAGATGCATAGGACCCTGGAGGCAAAGCCGCTGCAGAACTGAAGGGCGTCGTGCCTGAAGACGAGGAGACTTTAGATTTGGCACTGGCAGCTGCGTTCACATCGATGTCACTTCGAGATCGCTGGAGGGATCCAGTTGTTGATACAGATTTGGTGCTAACTGTAGAAGCTTTGGTAGTGAAGGAGAAAATGTCAGTAAGGATGACAGAGAATTTCAAATATATATTTCTTAAAAACCTGATGCTCTTTTGTTTTTCTTGAAAACAAATACCAATTTGTAATAAATGCTGGAGTCTATGGAACTGACCTGAAGTTTCCTTGCCCCGAAGATAAGGGTTCAGACAATGCCAAAGAAAACCAAAAGTGATCTCTACTGTCACCTATCTGTTATACCTGCTTTTTAGTAACTATAAATCCAAAGAAATGACCCATATTTCTGGTTACTATGAGAAGAAATGATACAATGAAAAATTGGTCCCATCTGGCCAGCCTCCTCATGTTGTGGCATGAAGGCACAGGACCTACAGAGGCTCTCCCCTTTCAGGAAATATCCTCCTCTCCGACCTCTAGCAGCTATTCCACTGCTGCCACACAGGGGGCTTGTCTTCCTTCCACTTTGGTGTCCTGCAATTTGCTAAGAGGTGAAGATCATCTTGTCACCAGTAGCTCTCACTCTCTTATCACATGAGCTGACAGAAGAGCAGCACTATTTGTGGCAGCACTGAAATGCTGGAGGGAAGCAAGAAGAAATGGTCACAGCCTAATTTCTGCCTATTAAGCCATCCTCACAATGGGAGTGGATCTCTGCTGAGGATGGTCAGGGCAGAGGGCAGAGTGGCATTTGACTCAGACCCAAGAGCAGGCCACAACTTTCTGCACTGAAGCACTGTCTCTAGGATATGAGCACCCCTCAGTGGCTGGGAATTGACCTCCTGTGGCCTCCTGTGGACACTGTTCCTCTTACCTCTAGATGTGGTGCTGCCAGTTGGGCTTCTTTTGGCAGAGAGCGGCCGACTAAAAAGAAAAGCATACACATTTATTGTCAAGGGTGGACCTTATCTGCAGTCACACAAATATAAACAATAACAAAAATAATGATAATAAAGAATTATTTCAGAGTTTTCAGAATTATTCAGGCAATTGAGACCATAATTTTATAAACTGCATTTCTTAAACTGAAAATCTTTAGCACTATATTTTGGAATATCTTTCAAACATAGCAAAACTATAATTGAGATGGAAATTAGAAATAATGAACAAAGATGATGATATATTAAGTGCCATGTTTTAAATAATCAGCCTTCCCAAACTTGTCTCCAAGTTAACACTTTCAAGTTCTTGGAAGACTCTCTGAGTGGTTCACACTGCTCTATAATTCATATACCTTATTCTAAAACTGTATTCTAGAATGCCACATAAATTTAACTGAAAATCATTTATGATAGAAGCCAAGGCTTCCTGTTTCTTACCTATCTCCATGGCATCTAACCTAGAACCAGAATTCACCTGAAGTCAGAGGGAATTTTAACAGGCATACACATGAAAGAGCTGGAATTTATGTTTCCACGAGCAAACTTTTAAATGTAAGCAAAGCTAAGTTCCTTACTTGAGACTCTCCTGAGAGCTGGAAGATGAACGATCAGACTGGGGCAGAGACACTATGCTGTCCGAGTTCTTCAAATGGGACTGCAGGGCTTTCTGGTAGGAGGACTCCAGAGTATGGTATAAGTGCTCTGCTTCTCTGCTGAAGTGACCATGGAAGCCCCAGTAACATCTAGGGAAAGCACACAAATTCCTGGTCTGGTTTGTGAATCCTAACAGGTCTTCCTTCTACAAGATATTCTTGAGGACTCAACCTGCCTGCTAATAGGAATGCAGGGTATAAGGAAAAGGGGACAAGCCAAGGAGGCCTTGCAGGAACCCTGGCCTCCCAGCTTAGGAGCCTTTCGGCACTGGGTAAGTTACTTAAGCTCTTTGAACCTCAGTCTCATTTATAAGATGGGAATTAAAGGATCTAACTTCCAAGACTGGGAGCCTTGGGGAAGACAGAGCTAAATTACAACCATACGCAGAACACAGGACAGACTCCTTAATGGGAGCATTTATAAATACAATTTAACACTCCTTGATTTGAGATATTTTCAACTGCCTTAGGTAACAAGAACAAAAGAAAAATGAAAAAGAAAAATGTTAAAGGGTACTTTACTTAAAATCTGTATTATGATTAAAGGACTATGTAAAAACTGGGAGTGGGAGAATATGAGGATAAGATATATAGCATTATCAGATAGATCATTAAACAAATTATGTCACTTGTTTTGGCAGGAATCATTCACTTCAGAGTTATAATAAACTCAGAAATAAGGAAACATAATTTAACTGTGAGGGCAGTCAAATGTAGTAAGAAACTGGAGCAGAAAGTATTCTTGTAGCTAAGGAAAACTATAATGTTCCAGGCAAGTGAGATGAGACACAACCTGTGTCAATTAGAACAGATGGTCAACTATGGAAGTATGGAAAAATAATCACAGGTGCAAAACCAACCGTAATCACCTGTGCACTGCCCAAGAGTGTCTCCCCTTCCCAGCCCCAACCCCTATCTGAGTGCTGGGGATGAATCCCAGAGCCTTAACATGCCAGACAATCCCTCTGCTGCTGAACTACAGCCCCAGCCCCAAGTGAATTAAGTCTGAACAACAAACTTCTGGTATTTACAGTCACATGGCAAAACTGCTTCCAGGGAGGCTCAAGATTCAGGGGGCTATGGCCAAATGACTGGAACATACTCGGTCCTAATGTCACAACCACCTCCAACAAAGATGTGATCATAAGGAAAAAGTCCTGTGATTGTGATTTTTCATAAATCAATAAAGCATGTTGGCTCATGACATACTTTTAACTGAAATGAGCAAATTCTGTTGTCTACCTCAGTCCGGTTTATACTAAAAAATTACTCAGCCAAACTACTAAAAAAAAAAAAAAAAAACAAGAGAAATATTCTGAAATGGCCTTTGCGGGGGCATGTTTAAACATTATGACTAAGGAAGTACATTCAAGTATATTCATGGGTTTATTCAGCAAGGAAATGCATACAACATACGTGAAATGTAAAAGTAGATAATTTTTTTTTAAAGTGTCATACAATAAAAACTTACTTCCTGGCTTCTATTCTTGCTTCAGAATCAGCATCATGGATTCCCTTCTTTATTGTTTCAGCTAATACTGATATGTGTCTAGATATTTAGAAAAGAAAGTAATAACAATCATAAACACATGACTTTATGTAGATGAAGACAGGTGTGTGAAACTTCAAAATAGGAACACAGTGTCACTGTGCCAATGTCAGTCAACTAACCTGCTGCCCAGAAGATCAAACACTCTTCCAGGGTCTTAATTTTTAATTATGGCCCAATACCCCATCCCCAACTCCACCCCACCCTCCCCTGGGGACTGGAATTACCCTGTTTTCTTCTGTGAGTTTTTAGAACACAGCTGGCTTTTTTCACTTAGCTCAATCTTTTATGAATTCAAACAAAAAAATTCTGCCCTTCCATGGTCATAGCTAGTTTCAAAACAAATTATGAGATGGATCATAACAATCCTAGCAGTGAAATAAGGAGGCTCTCTATACCACTTTTCTATAATGAAACAATGTTCTCTTTTCAGGTTCCATTACTATTTAATATGGTTAGGTTATCTATTGTTGTCTTTGTTTTCTAGTACTGGGAATGAACCCAGGGGTACTATACCACTGAGCTACAACCTTAATATTATTTATTTATTTATTTATTTTTATGTTTTTGAGAAAGGGTCTCATTAAATAGCCCAGGCTGGCCTTCTGCCTCCAACTCCCAAGTTGCTGGAATTACAGATAAGTACCACCGTGCCTGGCTTTTTTAGTTTTCTAAGAGATGAGTCTCGGTAAGTTGCCGAGGCTAGGTTCAAACTTGAGATTCTTTTTCTTCAGCCTTCTGAGTAGCTGGGATTATAGGCATGCACCACTTTGCCTAGTTTAACAATAATGATTTTTTTTTTAATTCTCTTTTTTAATATATACATATATATTTTTAGTTGTAGTTGGACACAATACCTTTATTTCACTTATTTATTTTTATGTGGTGCTGAGGATCGAACCCAGGGTCTCCCAAATGCGAGGCGAGTGTTCTACCGCTGAGCCACAACCCCTGCCCAAGAATAATTTTTAAAAATCTCTTTAGTTGTGTTTTACTCTAGTTGTAAAGAAATCATCAACATATTACTAAATATGTAACCAAGTTTTAAGACAAGGGAAATGACTGGTGTGAAGAGTCTCAACAATATCGCACAACAAAGACTAGTGGCTAATTTGATCAGCACTTCAAAGTCCTTGCCTCATTCTTTTGAAAAATATTTAGCAGTCAGTCACCTGCTAAGTCAGGTTCTAAGTGCTAAGAGGAAAATGAACACACCCACATTTTATCCTGCCCTCCTGCCCCACAGTGAATCCCTCATTTCACTTTCCATCTCTGAATTATATAAAACCATCACCCACTAAAGAAGATACAGTGCCCATGAGATTAAAGAGCAAGGGAATATTTTTAATTGTATGACTATCCTCTGCATTACAAGGGTTTTCAGATGAAATTTCACCTCTGGAAAGTTTGACTTTGTTTCACCTCTGACCAGGTGAATCAATATGGAATGGGACTCGTATTACTTAAAATTCCACTGTTAATCAAATATTTACTATGCTGCAAGTTCTTCTGAAACCATATAACACACCATTAAAAACACGGGGCACAATCTCATTTACTGTCTCCAAATATAAGACACCCAATGAGAGGCACCCAAACTTGACAGGAATGAAGGAATCACAAAATTAATAGAGACATACTTTTTCAAGAATTATGCCACAATCTTGCTTTTTAAAATTATGGTGATATAACACCATTGTATATCAACCTGAGTAAAGAGAACTGCTGTCAAATAGAAAAGAAAACTTTCAAATTAGTGATATTTCTCTTAGTACCTAAAAGGTACACCCTGCCTAGAGACAGCATTAAATCTCTACCTCCCTGGAACTGACAGGTTTGTTGCTGCGCAGCAGCCTCAGCAAAGCATTGTGGTGGCTTGGTAGTTCTAGTCATCACTAGTGCTCATTTGCCCCCATCTCTGGGCACGTGAATATTTCAATCAATGACATTTCCCAAAAGGTTCTCCAAATACGTGTTTCACATATCTGTGGTAACAACCATAGTAATGCAAGTGAATCCTTCAATTCCTTCATTCCTTAGAGAAGGTGGCTTGGACCACTTTATATGGCATTCAATTTCAAGATTCAATCCAAAGGGAAGAACATTTGCAAAGCAGGCAGATGCTCACCTTTCCAGTGAATGTGTCTGCCATTCTTGTAGAAGCAAATCTAAAAATTCAAAACAGCGCCTGAAAAGTGTTAAGAATTATAGAACTTAGTTAAATGTGTGTCAGTGAAAAGCAAACAGCGTTTTTCTTTAAATGGCCCAATAGTACTTTTTTTCTTTTTCTTTTTTGGTACCAGGGACTGAACCTAGGGGTACACTGACTTACATCCTCAGCACCCCACCCTACTTTTTTAATTTTGAGAAAGGGTCTCCCTAGGTTTCTCAGCCTGGCCTTCAACTCACAATCTCCTGCCCTAGCCTTCTGAGTTACTGGGATTACCCAATATTACTTTCCACAGTAAGATCCTTCTAATATTTACGATTAGAAAAAGTAGAACATAAAGAAGAATCGGGACTAAACACCAAAGCATATGAATGTGAAGAAGCACTGATGGTGTCCACAGGAAGACGGGGACAGGACACAGACTTTCCCTCCAATGAGAAGGCTAAGCTTTATGGCAACATTAGCAAAAGGGTCTAGCATGATTACTTGTTTTCATACTGCCCTAAATAATATATAAATACAGAATGTGCACATTTACAAAAGGTAAACACATGTTACACAGCCGGGGGACTGGCCTTCCCATTAATTTTACAGATTGCCTTGGGAAAAAACAAAGGAGAAAATACTCTGAAAAACTAAGTTCCCTCCAAGATTTCCTGTTGGGGTCCTAGGTAGTACTTGAAATAATTGGGATATTTATACTGATATAATTGGGATACTATACTGATATTTATACTGCCTTTCTCAGGGAATGGGTGAGGGGAGACCAAGGACACAGAGGAACTATCTCAGAAAAAGGTATACAGGGGTCCTCTCCCTGCCCCTCTCTACTACTGTCCCCACCCCCCACCCCACCCCCCCGGCGCCAAACACACTCAGACACACACACACAAATTAGAGGCTGTCCAAACTCACTTTCCAATATGTTCCTATCTTGATCCTTCAACCAAAGCAGTTGTTGCAATGATCTTAAATGCTATTAAACGTTTCAAACATAAGATTTAACCATGGAAGGAGATTTGAGAGTTGGTTTTCGTTTTTAAATAATTTAAAATTAACAAAGAACACTAAAAATTTACCTTCTAACTGCAACAGACTTAGAGGTACAGTTGCTTGTTATAACAGGTATTAGTCGAGGGATGTGTGTGTGCTGTGGAGAAAAATGAAAATCAGGTTAAAAAAAAATGAGGTAAAATTGTAAATACAAAAACAGAACAGAAGACAATTAAGAGAACCCTGTCCTTCCCAACCTATTTATAGCACAAATATATTCGGATTAACATGTCATCAAATTTAAAAAGAAAATTAAAATTTCACTGGCATGTCAAAGGCCATCACAAAATTGACAGAGCCAAGAGCTAACAATGTAATAATATATAAATCAGTCTAAAATCAAAACAATCATTGGCATGAGGTCTAAGTAATCTAAACAGCAGAGATCTGAGTAGGTTTAAAAGGAGTCTTTACAGCTCAGGCTAAGGCAAGAGGATTGCAAGTTTAAAGCCAGCCTCAGCAATTTAGTGAGGCCCTAAGCAACTCAGTGAGACCCTGTCTCAAAATGAAATACAAAACAGGACTAGGGAAGTGGCTCAGTGGCTGAGCACCCCTGGGTTCAATCCCCTGTACCAAGAAAAAAAAAAAAAAGGATTCTTCATGTCAATATATTCTGAAACATTGTTTCAGGCTCTCCCCCCCATCCCCCACTGGGGATTGAACCAGGGCATCTCACATGTTAGGCAAGCACCGTACCACTGAGCCACAACTCGCATTCCTAGCCCTTTTAAAATTTTATTTGAACATGGGATCTTGCAGATTTACTAAGGCTAACCTCCAACTTGCAATCCTCCTGCCTCAGCCTTCCAAGTAGCTGGGATTACAGGTGTGCACCATCACACCCTGCTTATTCTGACATGGTTTCAAGAAAATGTACAATAATGACTTTGGGTTTAATATTTGAAGTAGGCAGCACAAACAAGAACAGTAAGAACTAAAACTAATGCATAGTAACCCACAGTAGTCAAGAACATTCTGAATAGGGTTTATTCAGCATCATGAAGCCCTAAGGTTTCAAGAGTTGCCTCTTGGGAGAAACTGAAACTTGAAAATGGGAAGTAGGTAATATCTAGCAACTAGAGAAATGCAAATCAAAACTACTGCAAGATTTCATCTCACTCCAGTCAGAATGGCAATTATCAAGAATACAAGCAACAATAAATGTTGGCAAAGATGTGGGAGAAAATGTACAATCCTATGTTGCTACTGGGCCTGCAAACTGGTGCAACTCTTATGGAAAGTAGTATAGAAATTCCTCAGAAAACCTGGAATGGAACCACCATTTGATAAGCTATCCCACTCCTCAGTTTATACCTAAAGGAAGTAAAATAAGCACACTACAGTGACACAGCCACATCAATGTTTATAGCAGCTCAATTCACAATTTCAAACTATGGAAACAACCTAGAAGCCCTTCAACGAATAAATGGATAAAGAAAATGTGGCATACACACAACACACAAACACACACACACACACACACATGAAATATTAATCAGTCTTAAAAATGAATGAAATATGGATGGAGCTGGAGAGTATCATGCTAAGCCAAATAAGCCAATCCCAAAAAACCAAAGGCCAAATGTTTTCTCTAATATGTGGATGCTAATTCACAATAAGGGGCGGGGGGGACACTAGGGAAAAATAGTGTACTTTGGATTAGGCAGAGGGGAGAGAAGGGAGGGGAGGGAGCATGGGAGTAGAAAGGGTAGTAGAATGAACTGGACATTATTACCCTATGTGCATATATGATTACATGACCGGTGTGATTCTACATCATGTACAATCAGAAGAATGAGAAGTTATATTTCATTTATATATGATATGTCAAAATGCATTCTATTGTCATGTATAACTAATTAGAACAAATTTAAAAAGTACAAAAAATATATATAATCACTCCAATGAGAAATCTCTATTATTTCTTAAAATTATCAATATTTACCAATTGTATATTTTACATCTAGCCTTACGATATACTTACCCGAATGATTAATCTAACAGCTACAACACCAGAAGTGGCCATAATTTTGGCACTGTTTGGAATCAAATTAAATATAGTTGGCATAATGGCTTCAGCTCCATGGTCAAATTTATTTCCTAGAACCGATGACAGATGCCTACAGCAAGATATGAACACCATATTGTAGTTATACTTCTTATCAACAGCGAAGACATAAATTTCTTGATACTTAAGGGCCTTCATTTAAAGTTACTATGGATAAAGTACTTTTAACAATAAAAGTACAATACGCTAAAAAATAATTCTAAAATGTACATGTAGAGAACTTGACAAATAGCCTTTAACCCAAGAGTTTTTCTTAATCATTTTCAACCAAGTCTTAAAATAGCAAAAAAGAAATTGATCATATGCCAATAAAGCAAACATGAAAAACTCCCTTGCCCCTTTTATATTTAACCTAAAACATTCATGCTTCAATATCTGCCTGCCTCCCTCAAATTTAAACAACTATAAATAACTATTTAAACAACTCTTGGCTATGGCTTTGATAATCTGACAGTTTCTTAACACAGTTTGGCATAGGATAAGATGTTACTGCAGCACCTGCCTTAACTTTAACTTTGTAGCTATAATACTCTTTTACAAACAAACTTTCTGACAAATACTCTATATCCTGTAAGCAAAATCAATCAATCAATCAATCAATCAATGAGACATCTGAGAAACAGAATTCCGTAAAATTTCATTTTTTCTACATTAATATTATATTATTAATATAAATAACGGCTTCAAGTTTAAGATAGAGGCTTCAGAGATAGGTCACTGAGTAAAGTTTAAAATTGGTCACTCTTTACATCACTGGGCAGAAAATACTGCAAAGCTTAGCAAAAGTGTTAATTGGTAAGGGTCTTGGAGATAAGTCAGAGGTTATGTTAAAGTGACCCAGATGACATGGGCAAGGAACCATCTCTGAAGCTCTATAATGAACCTATTTTATGGTGTGTGAGAACAGGGAGCATTGCGGTCCTTACCCCAACGTGATACAAGCCTCCCGCACTACCTGAGACCGCAGATCCTTAGCAGAGAGTTTAAAGGCTCCGTCCAAAAGACGCAGATGTTGAAAGAAGTTATCATACTCAGCAGCACCAGCCAAAAGTAAAGATCTAATCTTTTTTAGCTAAGAAACAGAAAAAAGGACCATACAAAATCTGTGTAAGACATATTTAACACAGAATACACAAGACAGAAGCCTTCATTAAAGTTCAACTGATACAGAAATAATTTTTACAAGAGAATTCAACAAGTTAAATATTGCCTCATACATTGAACAAATCTACATATCACAAGATCAAATTTTTTTTTTTTAATATTTATTTTTAGTTTTCAGCAGACACAACATCTTTGTTTGTATGTGGTGCTGAGGATCGAACCCGGGCCGCACACATACCAGGCGAGCGCGCTACCGCTTGAGCCACATCCCCAGCCCCAGATCAAATATTTTTTAAATGCAGTATATACCAAATATATTCTAATTAATATCTTTAATTTCTACAAAGTGGGCTTTCTTTTTTGGTATTGGGAATTGAACCCAGGGTGCTTTACCACTGAGCTACATTTCCAATTCTTTTTATTTACTTCTTAAAATTTTGAGACAGGGTCTCACTCAGTTGCCCAGGCTGGCCTCAAACTTGCAACAATCTTCTTGCCTCAGGCTCCTGAGTTGCTAGCATTATATATAGCATTGTATCTATCTATCATCTATCTATCTATCTAGATTTTGTGACCATCTACAAATTGTGTTTTGGGAAATATCTTGGTATATTTATAGATTCTATGATACTAATGATAACTAAGATTAATTTTGGCTTATAAAAGTCCCTCCTAAATTTACTATCTCCTACATCCCACTCCAACTGTCATTTATTTATGAATCAAAGAGAAGCATGGGGGCCGGGGGTACAGCTTAGTGGTAGAGCGGTTGCCTAGCACATGCAAGGCCCTGGGATCCATTCCCAGTACAGGGGTGGGAGCAGGGGACATAAAAGAAAACGAGAGAAACATTCCTACAGCATTTTTATATTGTCCCCCAATGCATCTTCATTAACTGGCTGGTCTGAATGTGAAACAGAATACAACAGCAATTTTACCACCTCTTGCCTTGCCAACCATGCAGTGTAAAAACAGTTTTATGCAGAGACGGCATGCCCTCACTTAAATGTTGAGCCACATACTTTTCATGAATCCACCTTTTAAAACAGAGGAGGTATAACTTTCTAGCATGTGATAGGAAGAAAGAAAAAAATACTGAGGGCCATATACTGAAAGTTTTCACTAAAAAGCCAGTTTACTGGCCAACAAGCAGAGAATTAAATGTTGACTAAGGCAGAGGTGGAGGCAGTTTGCAGACATTCCACAGGCAGGTCTGCGGTAAGAGAACAGCAAATGCATGATGGTGTAAGCTGGTGTGTTTTAAAAATAAAAGCCTAAGTGAGAAACTCTATTAAAAAGTTCAAGTGAAAATATGGCATCTATATTTAAAATACCTACTATTTAAAATTCACCTAAGCTATCCTCCAAACTCATATCAAATATTTAAGATATTGAAAGGAATCTAAAGAAAAGGTAACCACATGAAGTCAATGGCTTACAGCATTTACTCTCTGCTCCCAATCATGTTTGTCATCAGATAATATTTCCCTAATTTTGTTTATGGATTCTTCAAGATCGCGGCTGGAATAAATCTGCAAGTAAAATTAATTCATAATTAATATAAGATAATTTACAGAAGAGAGATTATTTCTTAATTATGTGAAGTCACAGGCATGTAGCAAGTAGAGTAAAAAGAAATTATTTCATTTATATTAAGTACCAATGAGACAGTATCTATGCAGGATTGTCCGAATGAGGTTTTGTTTTTGTTTTTTTTTCCATTGTGAATGTGCACTGACTGGATCTGCTGCCATGTGTCAATAACCTTGACTGAAACACTCCCTTACTCTAAATGTAACAGAAGATCTCATGTACAAAAGAGAAAGAAGCCTACAAGAGAAACAGTGATGCACGAGTCAATTATTACTCATGTTATTGCTTTAAACATCACATTACACCTGTAATTTTAAACACTTTCATATCTACTTCCTCATTTATCCCCAGTCTTACTATAAGACAGGTAGGGTACCATCAACCAAAAATGCTGAGAGGGTCAAGTACTGCAGGATTAACCTGAGCTCGCTACCTGCTGTAAGCAGAGGTGGATCATCAGGTGGCAGGGAAAGCTGTTAGACAATAAGTGTTACAGGAATCCAGAGCACACTTAAAGTAGACTGAGAAAGCATTATCAGCCCTCCAGTCAATGATGGTAGGTACTGAAGCACAAAGAAGTTTAAAAAATGTTTGACTGTAACCCAAATTTTACAAATAATCTTTAATACATCTGTTAGGTAGTTAAGTGAAGCATCAAAGACAGTACAAATTAGGCTTTTATTTAACCATTCAATAGCTTTTCAGACACTAAATTCCTCAAATTTATATTTTTTTCTAAAATAGATCCCCAAATAAACATGCTTGTTTATTTATTTAATTTTTTTTAACCTCACCAACAAACAAAACACTAGAAGAACTAACTTCTTTCCTATTTTTAGTAAAAGATCATTTTGGGCCTTGACTTGCTACATTTCAGTCATTTAAAAGGCTCCAACATTTTCTAATCTGCACCTCAGATCCCAGAGCTAAAACAAACAAACCCAGTAAAGAATTCAGCATCTGGCAGTGCTATGGTCTGGATTAGTATTGCTGATAGGCTCCATGTCTTAAAGGCCTGGTCCCCAGAGGTGTGCCACTGGGAGGTCCTGGAACTTTGGGAGGTGGGGCCTAGGGGAGGGCCTTGGCTCTCTGGGTGGGGACCACCCTCCGAAGGCAATTATAAGAGGTAACTATGATAGAAGCCTGGATCTGGCCCCACCCAATCCTCTCTGTTCCTGGGTTGACATGTAGTCACTTGCCTGCTCTCACTGTCTCTGGCCATCAACCATAAAGTAATGCAGTCATGGTGTGGCCCTCTCTGAGCGTGTGCTACACTACACTCTTTGGACTTTGAGCCTCTAAGATAGTGAGCTAAATAAACCTTTTCTCTTTGTATAAAGAGAAAGTTGCCACAGGAATTTGTTGTAGTAACATAAAGCTGACTAATACAGGCATACTTTAAAGGTGAGATCTGAAGAACATTTCTACCCTGTTTTTAATCCTACCAAGTATCTTTACTCACCTGCACTACAGGTACATCATCAAATGCTTTAATAAAATCCTCTTCATCAACAGCACCGGCACCTTCCTTTGCAGCTGTAAAAAAAAAAAAAAAGTAATTTTAAAAACAGAAATAATGTACAACAAACAATGTGTAAAATATACACTGGAGGAAGACTGAAAAATAAACAACTAAAATTACATTTTTGAAGACAGAATGATGACAGAATTTAGAAAAATATAGTAATTTTATAATACTATGTACATTCATTTAAGTGCACTTGAACTAAGCAGGGAAAGTTGCAGTTTAAAGTATTTAGATAATATATATTGCATTAATAAGGATTCCTTATAAACAGATATAATGGAAAATTCAAATTTTCAGGGAATAAATAATTATTATTATTATTAATCCAGCATGATAAATTTGTGGACTATTCAAACAACATCTAAAGAACTGCAGTTTCATTCCGACTTTATATTAATCTCAAAATATTTCCATTCCCATAAACTTATGATAATCATGCCAATTAATTTTAGCATATGTTATAAGTTTCCCCTTAGAAGCTGTTCTAAGATGCTTCGTGTACTTAAAAGTTAATTGTTACCGTCAGGAAAAAGTTTTCTCTCTCTGCTAATGTGAACTTCACACATGAAAATTAGGTTATACTTTTATCAGTCTGCTTTTTCATAATAATGGTTTTTAAACTGGTGTCTAGGTCTTTGAAACCCTTACTAATGATTTACGCTGGAAAATCTGACTGCTTTTCTAAGAGCTTCTTATCAAATATGCATCTGGCGTTTGGGGTCCTGACACACTTCCTAGGCAGAAAAGGACTTTATAGATAATTCCAGGCAGTAAACTAGTATCCTCACTCTCAATGAAGAGTACTCACACTGCCTTGACAAACTCACTAGAAACGGATAGCAGCCACACCTCATGATGTGGCGCTGTGTGTGCTCATTTCTGTTCTAACACAAGGATTAGGACCCCACTGAACAGACAGATCCTGAGCGCCTCGCCTGCATCAGGCACAGTGCAGTGTACCCAAGCCGGGAAGAAGACTCAAAGACCAGTGCTGATCTCTGAACCCAAAGAATCTGACAAGCCAGAGCTAAACAGGAAAGTCACAACTGTGGGATTAAACAAAATGAAGAAAGGGTGAGAGTGGGGCTGTGGGGAATGCAGTCCTGCTGTCTCTGCGTAATTTACCCAGAGAAACTTCTAGAAGTGGTATAGGTAAGGGAAGGGAAGGAAAACAGGATTCTGATCATGCAGAAGTTTTCTAAGCTTTCTTTATTTAACTGATATTACCCAAGAATAGACCAAGAAGAAAGATTAGAAAGATGGTTCAGCTATTAAAAGGAATAAAGTTCTAATACCTGCTACAAGGTAGATGAAACATTAAAAATGTTACCTTTAAATTTTAATGGTAAGTGAATTTAATTTTATAGTAAGTGAATTTAAGCTCAATAACCAAAAATTAATTTTAAAAAAATACACTTCCCAAATTAAAAGGAACTGGGAATAAAAACATAAGAAATAAAGCAATACTTCCTCTAGTCCCTGCTTTGAATTTCACTTTCTGCTGGCAGGACGGCTCTGGCGGGAGTGGGAGCAGGGTGGCGCCGAGCTAACCTAGTCAACACACCCACAGTCTGGAGCCAGTCCAGGAAAGGCCATCCAGAGGCAGCATCCTAAGACTAATGCTTCCTCCAGCTTTCACCTAGCCCAGTCAGCTTTGGCAGTTTGGGACTGGTGGGATGCCTCCCCTGTACCACCACGGCTAAAAAGTCTGATGCCAAGGTTGAGCATGGTGTGAGTGCTGTAACTCAAGGTAGGAGGTTCACAAGGGCCTGGCCGGCTTAGTAAGCTTAGCAAGATCCTGTCTCAAAATAAAATAAGAAGCTCTGGAATCTTGCTCAGTGGCAGAGGTCCATGGATTCAATTCCCAGACCACAATGAAAAAAAAAAAAAATAGCAGAGTTCTAAAAGCAGTGGCTTTGCAATTTTTAGAGGTAAAAAGTAGGAAATATGGATATAAATCTAAAATGTGACAACAAAATGCCGGTTGAGAATAACAGATCATACAGTCTATAGGGCAGGAGACAGAAGGGATTTATGGAAGAAGACAATGTAAATACACTTTTAGAGCTTTAAACACCTAATCTATCATTTATTTAATTCCATATCTATGCTGGTATTGCAAGCAATAATGCTACTTATAGAGAACAAAGTATATTTTAAAGACAGAAGGTCCAATCTCACTTCTGGATATTCTCAGTCTTGATAAACAGAAATTGGCGAAAAAGTCCCATGTCAGTTTTAGGCAAGACTAGATCCAGATGATCTAATAATGCCTCAGGTATGCTCACCTCTACATTCACTTTGTCCTCCTATAGGCTTTGCCTCACCAGGTTGTGGCAAAGATCCACACAGCACATTAAACTTAGATCCTACCAGTTTATCAGCATCAATAGCACAGTGTTAATTCAATTGAAGACAGAAAGCCATAATGTGCTATTCTCAGAGTCTAGAGTTCACTTTTGAGGGACACTGCAGGCAAGTACCATGCACAGCTGGCCCCATAACACCACATGGGATTTGGTCTTACCTGAAGACTTGGATCCAAGAGTGGATGACCCAATCCGGCGGGTGGTTCCCATTCCAACGTTTCTCCGTGAGCTTGGAGGAGCTTTGGATGACGTAGAACTGGCAGAGGAAGGTCTATTACCATCCACGGAATCTTCATCATCAAAATTTTTATCTGAACAGTAAGCACAGAAGTCATTGTTTTAAAAAAGAGAGCACTTTCTTCACTTATACATAATATAACCACCAGCCTTGGAGATGAATGGGTTTGCCTGCTCCTTTGGAAACAGAGGTGTCTGCCAGGGTCTGGAAAGGCCTGGCAAGCCCAGAATGCAGCTGCAAATATCATGTCTGCCTTCCCATATCTAGAACGCCCTCCCACTCCCAGTTTGGAAAATATTTCAGACTGCTCTTTATGCATTTTTGTAAATAAATTGAATAGACTATGTATCATTTAGGAATACTGGTGACTTCAAACCTGTCAAGTTTTCCTTTGTGACAAAATACTTTTCATAGAACCATTTTAATGGTTGTAAGGTACTTTGTAAATAGAAAATGCCATACTGAAACACACAATCTTAGACATTTGGGGTGTTCCTAATATCTTACCATTAAAAATAATACCTTAATTATAAATACCTTTCTACATATATGTTTTGTTTTAATTTCAAACAATTCTAAGAGAAAGAAACCCTTAGAAGCAATACTGTAACAGTGGTCCACTTTACACTTTGAATATAGCTTTTGCTGCTCAGTCACTGAGACTTATTTTTTAAATGGAGGTTTCTTTCTCTTCCTCTCTCCCTGCTCTTCCCTAATCTCTTCCCTTCCCTAATATCAGGGGAAACAGGATCACCTTTCTTCTCCCTCCTAGGCAGAGTTATCTGTCCTGAGTACACATCCACCAAAGAAATGAAGTAATTTATGAAGACTTTGGGGATGGCACCAGAAGCTCTCAGAAATGACTATCTTCCAAATTAACCAAGTGAATCACAACTCCAACAGAGAACACATGGAATGTATAGCCTTTGAACCACCTCTTTAAAAAGTACCTTGTTCCACTTGATGGACAGAATCACAGCCTCTGGGACAGGAGTCCCCTGGCTTCTCCTTTGCTAACAAAGCAATAAACCTTCTTTTTCCTTTTTCTGAGACCGTGTCCTCATTATTGGATTGGCATCAGGGACAAAAACCAAGCTTTTGGTCATAATACTACGGGGTCAAAAGTATAGAAGTATTTAATGTATATTGCCAAATTTGTCTTCAGATGGGTCGTATAAATGTGTACATTTTCCTGGAAGGTCAAGAAAATATCCATACAGCCATATCCTTGCCAACATTCAATGCTATCATTTTAAAATTTAAACCAACTGAATAGGCAAGGGAAAAAAAAAAGCCCCCTCTATATTCCATATATTACATTTCTCTTTCAGTAAAGTTTTGGCAGGATGGGGAGTACCAGGGATGGAACTCAGGAGCACTCAACCACTGAACCAAATCCACAAGCCTATTTTGTATTTTTTATTTAGGAATAGGGTCTCACTAAGTTGCTTAGCGCCTCATTTGCTGAGGCTGGCTTTGAACTTGTGATCCTCCTGCCTCAGCCATTAGCAGCCACTGGGATTACAGGCATGAGCCACCATGCCCGGCTTTAAATTACATTTTTTGATAAATACTTTAAAATTTTCTAAGCAGCAGTGAATCCAACCAATGCTCCTCAAGCTGTATTCAAAATTAAAAAGAAAAAGAGGAAAAACTGGAGGGTGGGATCCTTAAAAATCAACATGTGTACAAAGGACATTTTAATGATGGAGAATAAAAACTATCATGATGCTTATATACCAAGTCCCCATGAGCTTATGCAGCAATTGTGAGTCATTTAGGAGGCTAAGTGAAATTGGAATAATTAAAAACAGAAAAGAAAACTAAGAACATTACCAATAGATCCAAAGTAAATGACTGTTAACCAAACAACAAAAACAGATAAAAATGGCATCCTTTTCTCCTTGCTGCTTCTTAGCTAAACTATCAAAAGCCAAGACTGTGTTTACTCAAGAGCCCTGTGTGCCTTAAAACTCACCAACAATGAACTTCAAATTACTAGTTTATTCAACTTGAGGGGAGGGGAGACAGTCCTTACAAAGTCATGCTTATGTAAACCAGCTCCTTTCTCTGAGCTTCACATTTCCCAGATTGTCTCACCACGCTAAACTGTTTCAATAGGGTTCTTTCAATCCACACATCAATTTCTTACTGGTTCACGTGTACAGTTTCTATTAAACAGACTTCCATATGGAGTCAGAAACTGTAAAGCACATTCATAAATTCCTTCCCAAGAGGAAAATCTAGACCTAATATAAAGGATAAGTACAAGGCAGAGGAGAGATCAGCAGCTGAGCACTGCAAGCATTAGCAGTGACAAGGACTGATGGAAACCTATCTGTCCTCCCGGGAGCTCCGAGAGTGCCTGAGCCTCTGTCATTATGGGAACAGACTGAAGAACTGCTTTCTTTTTCTGCTTAGAACAGGAACAGATTCAGTCTGTGGGAAAGATTTAAAAATCAACGGGGGAGATGAAAACACTGTTATATTTCACTCCAAAATTTGTGTAAATTATGTTTGGTCTAGAATTGTAACACACATAGACATACTATTTAGAACTGTGTTTAATTACTAAAAATAATTTTCAATGAACCAATTTTAATGAAATCCCTGGGATTTCTGCATGCAACAAGCAAGGATTAGACTTAACCTTTTCTAAGAAACCAGTCAGAATATATAAAACAACAACTTTCAGATACCGGATAATAGGCAGTGCAGAACTATGATCCCCAGAACAGAAAGCAGCAAGGTGAGCTATACAATCAACTTATGACTGCACTTACAACGTGAAAAATAACCAGTAAAGTGTAAAGTGAACAACCGAGTAGGAATATGTTCAAGCCCCAATTAGCCAGAATGGAACGTTTTCAGTGACTTATCCAAGGTATTTAATAGAGACCCCCAGAGAGTCGGATCTTATATTGGAGTTGAGCTATTATTTTTGCAGTGAAGGATACACTAAACCTGCCCCTATGAGAGCTTAAAAACAGGCCTCAAGGGGATTAGACAGGTCTGCAAGTAAATTTAACTGTTTTGCTAAAACAAAGCATCACATTGTTTAAAGGAATATAACAAAATTCCGAAATTCCAAAATGTAACATTCACAACATAAAACATCTAATCAAAAATTCCTAAACATGACAAGAGGCAGGAAAACATGGTCCATAATCTGAGTAGGGGGATCAGAAAATAGTAACTAAAAAATGACTCAGATAAAAACATACATATTGCTCATATAATTATGCTCAATATTAAAGGAACACTGACACAATAAGAGAAAAGGAAATTTCAAAAGGATGAAATGGAGCTTTAAACTTTTAAAAATATCTGAAATGAAAATTTAATTAAATGTGAAAAAAGTCAGAGAAGTTAAACTCAGAGAAACAGAATTTATCCAAAATTAAGCACAGAAACAAAGCAGATGTAAAAGAATGAAAGGAATAGTCTCACAAGCCAGAAGGATATCAAGCTGCCTAACACAGATGACACTGTATTCCCAGCAAGATGGGGGGATGGGTTGATAGGTAGGGCAGGAAAAGATATTAAGCAATGATAGCCAGTCAGATGTGGTGGTGCACATCTGTAATCCCAGCCACTCAAGAGGCTGAGGCAAAAGGATCAAAAGTTCAAGCCCAGCCTGTGCAACTCAGTGAGACCCTGTCTCAAATTAAAAATAAGAAAACAGGACTGGGGATATAGCTCAGCAATGGAACACTCTAGGTTTAATCCCCAATATTGTGAAAGAGAGAGATGGAGAAGGAGAAGAAAATGGTGGCCAAAACTTTTCCAAATTTATTGTAAACTATGAACCTACATACCCAAATAAAAACACCAAACAAAACATATACAAAGAAAAGCACATGGAGGTACCTCATCATCGAATCGCTTAAAACAAGTGAAAAGCAATTAGTGCGGGAAAAAAGACACATTACATTTAGAATAACAAACAAAATTACATCAGACTCCATCAGAAACCCTTTAAGCCAGAAAACAATGGAATGACTTATGGAAAATAGTGAAAGAAAATTATTAGCTTAAAATTCTATAAACATTAAAATTATATTTTAAGAATAAAGGCACAACAAAACAAACAATTTGCCACCAGCAGACCCACACTCCAAGAAATGTTACAGGACTATCTTCAGCCAAAAAGAAATACATACCAGTTGGAAACTCGGATTTACATAAAGAAATGAAGAATAGTAGAGATGGTGAATGTGAATTTATGTGAATAAATATAAGACTTTATCCTAATACCTTAATTATACTTTAATTGAAAGCTTCAAACAAAAATGAAACACCTGATGTTTATTTTTCATTCTTTTTTATAGCCTCCTGTTCTGGGCAAATAAAATAAGCTGGTGGCCAGTGAAATTACAATGATGATATATATTGCTATGTACATATGTTACACACAAAAAATAAAAAATTGACAGGGGAACTAAGGTGTGCAGAAATGAAAGCGATTTTAAGCTAATCATCCTTGACCAAGACTGAAGATGCCACACTTCACTGAGAAGACACAACACTCAGGGCAACTCATGGAAACGCCTTCAGGGTGTTGTTGGCAAGGTTTTTAAAACTGAGCTCTGACAGTCCTACTTGGTCTTTTTACTTACACTTTGGGAATGAATCTAACAAGCTCACTTTTCTGATTTCCTAAGCAGATTAGAAACAACTAATTATAGGGATAACAAAAAGGGGGTTGTAGGGGTTAAGCAAAGTGATGTTAGTAAGAAGTGACCGTTCGAAGTCTGGTAGTTAAACAGAAACTATGAAACACAAACACATATACAGAAAAACCTCTGAACCCAAACTATGTAAAATGCACAGACGTTACAGGGATCAAATGACATCTATGTAACTGAGCTGCTTAATAGCAGGTACTGGTAGTAACCACCCAGGATCAGCATCGAAAGATTCGATTCTTTTTCATGCAATGTGTGTACTAATGAAGAGAGTAGTTCCTATTTCCTGCCTGTATTAGAAATTCAGGGAAACTTTCCAAATTAATAACTGGGCACACTGTTTAAATTTAGAGGTACTTCACCTGGAAAATGTCTGGAGGATAAA